ACATCGGGATTAAACCAAGACTAAAACAGAACTAAACCAGAACTAAACCAACACTGAATCAGGACTAAAACAAAACTAAAACAGGTCTAACCCAGGACTGAACCAGGACTAAACAAGGACTAGTCGGCACAGGCATGGAGGTGCACCCGTGTAGACCGTCCTGGTTTAGACCTGGATTAGTTCTGTTTTAGTCTTCGTTTAGTCCTGGTTCAGACCTGGTTCAGTCCTGATTCAGTCCTGGTTTAGTCCTGGTTCAGTCCTGGTTTAGTCCTGGTTTAGTCCTGGTTTAATCTTGGTTCAGTCTTGGTTCAGTCTTGGTTCAGTCCTGGTTCAGTCCTGGTTTAGTCCTGGTTTAGTCCTGGTTTAGTTCTGGTTCAGTCCTGGTTCAGTCCTGGTTTAGTCCTGGTTCAGTCCTGGTTCAGTCCTGGTTCAGTCCTGGTTCAGACCTGGTTTAGTCCTGGTTTAGTCCTGGTTTAGTCCTGGTTTAGTCCTTGTTTAGTCCTGGTTTAGTCCTGGTTCAGTCCTGGTTTAGTCCTGGTTCAGTCCTGGTTCAGTCCTTGTTTAGTCCTGGTTTAGTCCTGGTTTAGTCCTGGTTCAGTCTGGTTCAGTCCTGGTTCAGTCCTGGTTTAGTCCTGGTTTAGTCCTGGTTTAGTCCTGGTTTCAGTCCTGGTTTAGTCCTGTTTAGTCCTGGTTTAGTCCTGGTTTAGTCCTGGTTTAGTCCTGGTTCAGTCCTGGTTCAGTCCTGGTTCAGTCCTTGTTTAGTCTGGTTTAGTCCTGGTTTAGTCCTGGTTCAGTCTTGGTTCAGTCCTGGTTCAGTCCTGGTTTAGTCCTGGTTTAGTCCTGGTTTAGTCCTGGTTTAGTCCTGGTTCAGTCTTGGTTTAGTCCTGTTTAGTCCTGGTTTAGTCCTGGTTCAGTCCTGGTTTAGTCCTGGTTCAGTCCTGGTTCAGTCCTGGTTCAGTCCTTGTTTAGTCCTGGTTTAGTCCTGGTTTAGTCCTGGTTCAGTCTTGGTTCAGTCCTGGTTCAGTCCTGGTTTAGTCCTTTAGTTCTGGTTTTCCTGGTTTAGTCCTGGTTTAGTCCTGGTTTTAGTCCTGGTTTAGTCCTGTTTAGTCCTGGTTTTAGTCCTGGTTCAGTCCTGGTTTAGTCCTGGTTTCAGTCCTGGTTCAGTCCTGGTTCAGTCTGGTTTAGTCCTGGTTTAGTCCTGGTTTAGTCCTGGTTTAGTCCTGGTTTAGTCCTGGTTTAGTCCTGTTTAGTCCTGGTTTAGTCCTGGTTTAGTCCTGTTTAGTCCTGGTTTAGTCCTGGTTCAGTCCTGGTTCAGTCCTGGTTTAGTCCTGGTTTAGTCCTGGTTTAGTCCTGGTTTAGTCCTGGTTTAGTCCTGGTCCTTCATGAGCCTGTGCAGTTTGTTTTCATCGTTGCCAGTTGCTCCAGTTTGACATTTAAGTTGAAGGATTTTTAATTTTTATTTTTTTAAATATATGTCAGGAGAAGTGGACGTACAGCGGGAGTGTGGGAGGGCATCTGACACACTGGGACGTACAGCGGGAGTGTGGGAGGGCATCTGACACACTGGGACGTACAGCGGGAGGTGGGAGGGCATCTGACACACTGGGACGTACAGCGGGAGTGTGGGAGGGCATCTGACACACTGGGACGTACAGCGGGAGTGTGGGAGGGCATCTGACACACTGGGACGTACAGCGGGAGTGTGGGAGGGCATCTGACACACTGGGACGTACAGCGGGAGGTGGGAGGGCATCTGACACACGGACGTACAGCGGAGTGTGGGAGGGCATCTGACACACTGGGACGTACAGCAGGAGGACGGGAGGGCATCTGACACACTGGGACGTACAGCGGGAGTGTGGGAGGGCATCTGACACACTGGGACGTACAGCGGGAGTGTGGGAGGGCATCTGACACACTGGGACGTACAGCGGGAGTGTGGGAGGGCATCTGACACACTGGGACGTACAGCGGGAGTGTGGGAGGGCATCTGACACACTGGGACGTACAGCGGGAGTGTGGGAGGGCATCTGACACACTGGGACGTACAGCGGGAGTGTGGGAGGGCATCTGACACACTGGGACGTACAGCGGGAGTGTGGGAGGGCATCTGACTTACGGGGATATTAGATGAACATAAACGCGCAGATCAAACAGCAGAACGACTGATTTATGAGCAAATAAAATCCGACGCTCAAACACACGTTTAATTTCACAGATTAAACACGAGGTTTTACGAGTCTCCTCTCCCTCTGCTCTCCGCGCTAAGTCACTCCCCCTTCAGAGCGCCACCGCAGCGCAGCGAGAGTTCGTCCCGCTGACGAGACTCCTGCACGCGTCACGTCGGGTTTGTGAAGTCGCCGGGTTCAGTTTTGTGTCGTGTTTTTTTGTGTTTTTATGGACAATTGTGGTGTGGGAGCCTGGGGGGCGGAGCCTCGTACCCACTCGTACTGCAACTAACTGTAGATCCAGTTTAGTCCTGGTTTAGTCCTGGTTTAGATCTGGATTAGTTCTGGTTTAGTCGTGGTTCAGTCCTGGTTTGATCGGATTTAGACCTGGTTTAGTTCTGGTTTAGTTCTGGTTTAGACCTGGTTTAGTCCTGGTTTAGTTCTGGTTTAGTTTAAGTCCTGGTTTAGTCCTTGGTTTAGTCTGGTTTTGGTTTAGTCTTGGTTTAGTTCTGGTTTACCTGGTTTAGACCTGGTTTAGTTTAGACCTGGTTTAGTTTTCTGGTTTAGACCTGGTTTAGTTCTGGTTTACCTGGTTTACCTGGTTTAGTCTTGGTTTAGTCTTGGTTTAGACCTGGTTTAGTTTAGACCTGGTTTAGACCTGGTTTAGTTTCTGGTTTAGACCTGGTTTAGTCTTGGTTTAGACCTGGTTTAGTTTCCTGGTTTAGTAGTTTAGTTCTGGTTTAGACCTGGTTTAGGGTTTCCTGGTTTAGACCTGGTTTAGTCCTGGTTTAGTCTTGGTTTAGACCTGTTTAGTGTTTAGTTTCCTGGTTTAGTCTTGGTTTACTGGTTTCTGGTTTAGACCTGGTTTAGACCTGGTTTAGACCTGGTTTAGTTCTGGTTTAGACCTGGTTTAGTCCTGGTTTAGTCTTGGTTTAGACCTGGTTTAGACCTGGTTTAGTCCTGGTTTAGTTTTGGTTTAGTTCTGGTTTAGACCTGGTTTAGTTCTGGTAAATGGTTTATACTGTATATATTGTAAAAGTTTTTACTGTCTGGTTATCAGCAAGTGCACATTCGCATGCTAGTCGCCGTTGACATGGCAACACTCTGGTTTCTGAAAGTTGTGAAAAACTCATCGTGTGAGGTAAGTGAAGAACTTTGGGCCAACGCAAATAATAATAATTATTATTTATTTCTTAT